GAATGGATAAAGAAAATGTGGTACATATACACAATGGAATATTACTCAGTCTTAAAGAAGAATGACATTATGGCATTTGCAGGTAAACGGATGGAGTTGGAGAATATCATGCTAAGCGAAATAAGCTAACACCTCCAAACCAAGGCTGAATGTTTTCTCTGATAAGTGGATGCTGATTCATAATTGGGGGGTGGTGGTRGTAGGGAAGAATGGAGGAACTTTGGATTGGGCAGAATAGGGTGAGGGGAGGGGAGGAGGTATGGGGGTAGGAATGATAGTAGAATTAATTGGACATTATTATGCTATATGTGTATATGATTACATGATCTTTGTAATTCTACATCATGTATAACCATAAGAATGAGAAGTTATACTCCATTTATGTATGATGTATCAAAATGCATTCCACTGTCATGTATAACTACTTAGAAAAAATAAAAATTAAAAAAAATATAGGTGGATGACAGAGGTCCTGTGAGAATTATAAGTGATCATAGATAGTAGGCTTAGATCCAGATCTAGATCTGAAAAGCACCTTGTTCTCTCCATCACAACCAGCCTGTTATCATTGTCTAAGGTATGGATAGCAGGAAGCTAGCCCATTCATGCTTGGAGGCCTTCTCTAAACTGGCTCTTTCTCTGCTGTCCACTGCAGATGCTACTGTAATTGTTGACCCTCCTGCAGACTACCTTCTCTCATCYCCACCTTTTCCCAGCTCAGCCTTCGGAGGTGGTTGTTATGACTAAAATCAGTCATTTCTTCTAATCTCCAGGTAATAGTTCTCAGAGATGGATGAAAAGCCAGTAGTTCTTCATTTAGTTGGGCAACAGGTGGCACTAGAGACCATATAATCTCCACATTTCTAAACCCCAGCAGTTTTTACCAGAAGCCTTAAAGAGCAAAGTAAACCACACTCTTGCCAACACCCTCAAAAACCCTTGTTTTATTTCCCTTTAGCTACACCCTCTTYCCCTGGGTGAACCCCAATCTTGGGCTACTTAAACTGTCCAGGCTCTGTCTACATATTGATTGTTGTTGAAGAAGGCTGCCAAACATGTAATTTGGGGGCACCTATGAACTCCTAGTTAGGTTTTCTGTATAGTCCTGGGCCAACATAATTGGTTTCCTCTTTAATTTTTCTTAAGAGTTATTTCAAACTTCACAAACCCTGAGCTCTTTAGTGAAACATTCAAAGCATATAAATGTCTTGTGTGGGGCGTTTGTATTGTGACAATAAGTAAAAGGGCCAAGAACCATGTCTGGTTTTGTGAGATGCAAAACACAAAAGCATCTATAGAATGGCAAGAAGGGGTTAACAGAACCAATGTAGCAGATGAGGAAGCGAAGAGCCCAAGGCAGTCATGAAGCATAAGTTCCGATAAGTTCACAGAAGTCCCTGAAAAGGCATTCATTGTACTTTCTCAGACAAATTAGGGAAGTTTAATCTATTAGCTAGACATGAGGGGTAAAGATGACTCTGGTTGACCTCTGGGAAGCATGCAGATCTGATGTCATTATTCCTCTGTTTTATATTTCTTACTCCATTCCTATACAGGGAGTGATGTTCAAATATACAAAGGCTGGCAGTATACTCATAAGATTTTTGACTCAAGGATGCCTGAATTTTGCCTTGGCCCTGCCAAGGTTCCTGAAGAAGACAGACAGACAGACACACACACACACACACACACACACACAACAAACAAATCACACACACACACACAAAAGAAAAAGATAAAAAAGATCAATGGCATTGTATAATCTAAGCACTGTGCCTGGTAATACAATGCAGAAAGTTCCAGTAAATTGAGCACATAACTAAGGTGCAGCACAGAGGTAGGGCCTCTTCCCTAGCCCATCAATCACTAGCCAGGTTCCAGAGCCTCAAAGAAAGGGAGTATATAGTGTATGAGTGAGGGGAAAAGAAGAGAGATGATCAGTGCCTGGGTTAGAAGAAATATGAATGCCAATGATAGCAGGCTTAGAATCTAGACCTGAAAAGCAGCACACAGGGGCGAGAAGGTGAATTAGATGGCCAGGACTACAAGAGGTGAGGAGTTTGGGCCCAGTCCCCCCTCCCCACRGGAGCATAGTTCCAGACCATAAGCCACAGCCATCTTTGGTACTTTCACACATTCTTACCTTGCCTGTGAGTAAAGAAGGCTCAGGAAATGTACCTGGAAATGATTCAAGAAATGAAAATTCCCTTTTATTGGAGAGATACGAGGAAGGAGATAGGAGGMGGGTGGAGCCTTCTTTCCTTTATACTTAAAGAGGGACATTAACAGCCCTTCAATAATTTGGTCTCCAATGTTTACAATATCATCTCTCACCCAGTCCCTATTGTAACCAATAACTTGTCAATAGGCACTCAATGAGCTACATTTATGTGGAAATTTTCCACATTTCCCTTGTTCTTGCCATCKTCTTCCTACAATTGTTACTTATCCATCTGGTAAAGTCCTTTAAAAATCCAGTTCAGCTTCTCTCTGAAGCCTTCCTTTACCTTCTGAGACAGAACTAGTCTTTTTTAGTTTGTCATGATATTATTTCTTTTTGACTCGTCCACTAACTGAACTTTATGTTCATTATTCATCATTATGTTACTCTGGCATAAGTGTCTGACATTAGGATATTGAGTAAACATTTTTTAACTTATTGAGTGAATAAGGGCTGRAGGGTGATGGCTATGGGGGTTACAAGTTAATATGTGTCCATTTCACTATCTTATGGGTCCTCTTAATAGGAGCTGATAGGAGCTGCCTCTGAGTAAAGAAACCTGAGAAAAGGAACCAAGCACAGAGCTAGTAGATCTTGTGTGAGTGAAGCAGGAATTATAGCTGAAAGATGCAAGTGTGACATTAAGGTTGGTTTGTTCCTTCCAAGGGCTGTGAAGGAAGGATTTGTTTTCAGGCCTCTCTCCTTGATTTGTAGATGGCATTGTCCCTGTACTTGACATGGCATTCCTTGTATATGAGTCTGTCACTGTAAAAATTTCCCTTTTTATTATTAACTTATTTTATTGAGATGGGGTCTTACTATGTTATTTACTTATTTTTATTGTTTGGGCTGGCCCCTAACTCTGAGACTCAAGCCATTCTTATGTGTCAGCTTCCTGAATAGCTGGGACTACAGGTATGTACTAATTGCCACACTTGACTATTTTCCCTTTTTATAAGGTCATCCACTTGTCATCTTCAATTGGGGCCCACACTAATGACTGCATCTCACCTAATTACATCTGCAAAAACCTTCCCAACCTATATTCAGAGGGTCTATGGGTTAGAACTTCAATTTATGATTTTGGGAGGAGTTTCAATACAACTTTAACTGGACTATTGAAGGTGAATTTGGTGAATACCTTTGTGTAGAATTAGCTTGAACAAATTAGAGGAAAGACTGCAAATGCAATGAAATATTTTACTAAAACGTGTAATTAAAACAATTTCTCATAAATTCCTTCTGTTTTTGTATTTGTTCTATTTAAAACATTTTCAGAATGAGTGAAGTGTGTAACCAYTGATTATTAGAGAGCATATAGCTGTAATATAGTCAATATCTGGGAAATATTGTTTCTTTTCTGAGTGATCTTGTATAAGTAATTCACTTATCTGGGCTTTTAAAAAATTTTTAATCCCGGAGTAGGCCTTATCTCAAAAAATCTTTGAAAATTTTAAGTTCTGTTAAGTCCTCTCTTACAGCCCAGTGGAGAGAGAAGCATTTGAAAAATGAGTGAATAATGTTTGCTATATAGCATTAATAAACACAAGATATGGCTAGAGACAGAGATGTTTAAGAGAACACCACTGGGGCTTGTTTCTACCATCCCTGTGATTTTTATCTTCCTTTTCTYAAATGTACAGGAAACTTCCTAGTCTCTTACCAATCACTGACTTGTCTTGCTTTCCATAATCTGATTTTTCTCATATACAATGTAAGCTGTCTTCCCCAGTGGCTGGAACAGTGCCAGGCACCTGGCAGATGTCTAGTACATATTTAACGAGAAAACAGAGGCAAAAGGTGAACAGCACCGGGAACATCCTTGCCAGTAGATGTGAGGAAACAAGGCCCTTTCTCTCTGAAGGCAACCATTCTTCCTGTTAAATGTGTCACATGGGTGTACGTGTTTGGGCTATGCCAACCCATTTAACAATGGGCCCATGCACGCTTGTGGTTGGTTAAATGTGACTTTAGAATTTATTTATTTATTTTTATTTTTGTACAGTTGTGGATGGGCAGCATGCTTTTATTTTATTTATTTATATGGTGTTGAGGATGGAACCCAGTGCCTCACACATGCTAGGCAAGTGCTCTGCCACTGAGCMGCAGCCCCAGTCTCAACTCCTGGAATTTAAATTAGAGTCTTACACAACAGTCTGAAAGTTATAGTTCTGTCATCTCCGATTGCCCCTTGTTCCTACAGATGCCCTCAAATTTCGGGTGTTATTAAGCAGTTTGAGGACTGCAGCTYTGGGATTCACCTAAGAGCACACATCCACTGAAGCTTTCTGTTCTAATTAACTCTGCCAGGGCTTTCTAGAGGGAAGGCTCAGAGGTCACTGCAGGACACAAAATGTGCCCATACAAGCCCTAAGCACGTGGGTGGCCTCTGGCTGCGCAGACTTACAAAATTCAGGACACTAACTCCCGACCCATTGCTCGCAGGTGTTTAGATAGCTAGAGATACAGATAACCGCCTCCAGCGGGCGGASTGTGGCGCCCGCGGCCGAGATGGGCGGGAACCTGGAAGACCACTTCCGGGATGCGCAAGCTGGCACTGCGCAGCCGCTGCGGGCGGAAAGACWAGACGCAGGCCGCCCGGTGCGGGGCCGAAGACCATGAGCATGGCGGTCCCGGGCGGTGGCCGCCGGGCGCGAGTGTCCCGCCTAGTCTCCTTCAGCGCGAGCCACCGGCTGCACAGGTGGGGCGTGCCCACAAGTGTGATGGCAGCAGGCGGGCACCCGCCCCGCCGTGAAGCGCCACGGGGGCGGGGCCGGCGTGCGCGCTTGCGTGCGCGGGCTCGAGCCCGAGCGGGCGGGGCTGGGGCGGGGCTGGGGCGGGGCTGGGGCGGCGGCCTTAGGGTGGGTTGTGCGCGCGCGCTGGGGCCGTAGTCGGGGACCTGCGCAGAAACGCAGTGGCTTCAGGACTTGGCCGAACTTGTGCTGGTTAACACTGCCCAGTGCGGAGGGGTCGCCCCAGGTTCCGAACCAGAGGCTCTACTCACTGGCTTCTGACCCTGAGTCACCTAGTTTACCCCGTGGTGTGAAGTTAAGCAGAAGTTAACTCCTAAATTACACAGTACCCAGAGCGTCGCAAACACCATAGACTTTAGCTAATTCTGTATGCTAGGAGCTTGAGCTACCGAGTCTAATATAATGACAAGGCTAGTTTTGTCTCCTTTCTACCAAAGATGAAATGAGCCCTGATGTTCTTTCTCTAAGCAGGCGCACAGTTGGGATTTGAACGCCGAGCACTCAGACTGCCTTCCTGCACCAAAGAATTAGTTGATTTTGAGGATTCTTGCACTCCTCGCTAGCTAGTTCCACTCCCTGAGCCTGCGTTTCCTTGTCTGTAAAATGAGGATAACAGGATTCATCCATCCATTGCTGGACAGGGTTTGTTTTGTGCTGATAAGGCCCTCTGCTAGATGACAGGGACCAATACACACTTGTCACTGCTCCCTATCTGGAGCTTACAACGTGGCCAATTTTGTGACGAGTTAAGTACAAGAATCTGTATTTCTGAGAGAATTTTGTGCAAAAGCTTTGTGAATTGTAGCGCCCTTAGAGTGAGCAGTAGGAGAAAATGGGAGAAATAATAACAACCATAAAAAGAAAGGGATTCTATAATAGGAAGCTCAAACGTATGAGGGAGCTAAGAACTCAGAAGCTGAGATTGAGCGGGTATAGATATATAAATTCATTAAATTGTGTTCTGCCTGGAACAACAGCTAAGTGTTGTTAATTTTGGATTTTCATCTAATTTGAATATCCCCTGGGAACTTCAGTGGGCAGTAAAAGTTGAGGCAGAGTAGAGCAAGATTTTTAAAGAGGAAACTGAAGTCATGGGATTATTTTTCAGGGAAATGAGATTTTAAGCTGCTTGAGGACAAACATCTACTTGTGTTTATAATTGTATGTCCTTGCTTCATTCTACTCTTGCCTTTTCCATAGTAGGTTATCAGTAAATCCTTGTTGAATTGAAAAATGAAAGGACCATTATCAAGGTAGTTGGAATCTTCCTGTGCAGCAGAGGGATTGAATTTAAAGTTTGTTTATGCTATTTTTTTTTTTTGCAGTACAGTAGTCTAATTAGGGATTGTACATTTGTTCCCCATGTACAGATGAGTAATGAAATCAAAGTGATTTTTCTACTTGGTGAGTTACAGTAACAATAAATTTTGAAACTCTTCAAAGACCAGAGCAGATAATGTAAGGAACAGAGAGAGGGTCTGAATTTGATACTGTGTCATGCTGATTTTCATTTTCTTTTGCTCAGCAAATCTTTGAGTGATGAGGAAAACTTGAAACTGTTTGGGAAATGCAATAATCCGAATGGCCATGGGCACAATTATAAAGGTGAGAGAACAATTGTAAAGGTGAAAGAAAAAAATAGTATATGGAGAGGATGAAATGTTATCCCTTCAGTAAGGGTGAAAGACTGTTCAGTAAATGCAAGTGTGACTAGTAAGGGGCCTTAAGGACAGTATGAATGCGTTGAGTCTTGAATCAGAAGTAAAATGGAATTTCAAAAAATGAAAAGCTCTGTTGCCTTGGTTGGATGTGTCTTGACATTTCACCTCACAGATGAATAGATATGTTTAACCTAACTTAAACATTAACAACAGCTAAGTGTGTTAATTTTGAATTTTCATCTAATTTGAATATCCCTTGGGAACTTCAGTGGTCAGTAAAAGTTGAGGCATTATTACTGTGTATACATGTAATGAAACATCACATGGCGTGCCATTATTATGTGCAATTTTATTTATTTTTAATTTTTTTATGTGTGATATTTATGTGTAAGTTAAAAATTATTTTAAATTAAAAAACAATAAAATTAAAAATTAGATTATATTTTTATAACATCCTTCACATTTTAAAAAAGATTTATTTTTTTTAACCTTTATTTACTTTTATGTGGTACTAAGGATTGAGCCCAGTGCCTCACACATGTTAGGCAAGCKCTCTACCACTGAGCCACAATCTCAGCCCCAGATTGTATTCTTTGAGTAAGCAATGAGTAATAAAAGGGGAATATTGCCTGAGAATACTGTATGGCAGAAAAATAGTTTGTGTCTAAAACTTTGCCAGCCGTGTTCCAAGAAAGTAAGTAACTTTTATAAGGATAAGAGACTTGATTCTTTGAGACACAGCTGAAGACTCAAAAAACAGCTATGTAAGCTATAGAGGATAGCAGCGTTTGGGGGAGTGGCATTAAAAAAGACCAGACAAGGGGTCATAAAAATCAAGATTTCTAATTTAGTTACTGTCTCTTAGTTTATCTATGATACCTCTCACTCTTGGTGTACTCACTTATCATACAATACCTAATGGTTTTTGTGTGGAGCTGAAAAAGTGCAAGTTCATAGAAGCTATTAATTTGTAAAGCACTGATTGACTTTTTTCAAATGCTTTGCAAGTGCTTGTTATTTAACAAAGTATTACTGTAAACTGTGTATGCATTCTTTTTTTTTTGTATGCATTCTTTTTTAAGGCCCAGTAGTAATTTTGCTTGCTCAGAGGTGCTGTCCAGAAATGGGCCAGTTTGGTGTATAGATGGACACCTGCATGTACATTTTTGCTTTTACAGGTAGAGATTCAGATACACCTTGATAAATATATAAGCAGAATATATAAACATGTAAACATGTATAAACAGATAAGAATTTATACCCCTTTGGGCATTGGCTAATTTCCTGTACTTAGTCAAAGCTCGTGCTAAGCTCTTCTGTCTTGGTTGAGTCTTGCTTTAGTTGATAAAATGGTCTTAACTGAAAGGATATATATTTTTTCCAGTACTGGTGATTGAACCCAGGGTTTGCACTTGCTGGGAAAGCGCTCTACCTCTGAAAGCTATATCCCTAGTCCTTATTTTTTTAAAAATCTTTTTTTTTTTTTTTTTTTTTTTTATTCTGAGGCAGCATCTCACTAAGTTGGCCAGCCTGGCCTTGAACCCGTGATCTTCCTGCCTTAGCCTCCTGTATAGATATCTAAAAGGACAAATGTTTTTGGGTAAAATATAAGTATAGCTTTGCGGGCCAGAGATCTAATAATTTATGTTGCTAATATGTGCTTTCATATTAATCTTTTGAAAATCATGTTTTTTTAAAAATTTGTTTTCTTTCCCATAGTTGAGGTGACAGTATGTGGAGAGGTATGTGCTGAACATATTCGTGTGGTTTTGTTTATATTGCTGAGTTTTCTTTCAGTCTCCTTGGTGGATTCTATGTTGAAAACTTGTGTTTCAGTTTCATCAATGTTGGCTTTTGTGTGTGGTGAACTGCTGCCATTCTAGGTCTTTCCTCTTCCTAAGTGTCGACTTTGTGTGCTGTCTGTGGACAGGTGGAAGAGCTGTGCAGTGAAAAGAACGCCTGATGCATGTGTACTTTTGTGTTGAGATCGGTGTCGTCTCTGGGATGCAGGCAAATATGGGCACAGTTTGCATGTTGCACAGCCTCTAAGATAGTTTACCAGAAGTTTTGATGTGAAGAGCCTCTCAAAATAATATTTACCTTTTTTTCTTCTTTAGATCGATCCTGTTACAGGAATGGTTATGAATTTGACTGACCTCAAAAAATATATGGAGGTAAATGCCATATTGGGTGCTAATTCTGTGCTATGTCCTCAGCATAATTTTTGGTGACTTCCTTTCCACCTACCCAGTCATTTATCACTTGGGGTTCCATGACTTTGTGAGTGGAGTTGGGTGTGGGCCTGGGAGGATAGTTGGAGAAATTGCTCTCATGGCATTCTAAAAGTCTCCTTAATGGAAAGTAGTCAAAGCTGTGTTGTAATGATGGGGCAATGTGCAAGTAGCATGCTTACCTTGTATTCCTTGTTGGAATATACTGATTTCCTCCACTTCACAAATTCTATCCTTATTTCCGGACACAATTTTCTCCTTGAAGTTTTCTGTTTCCTTTTTGAATATTCCTTATACCTTTGCCCTTATATTTTAACATCACCCTTTATTTTTCACTTTGTCTTTACTATAAACTTAGGGGCAGTTCTTTACAGAGATAACACAGAAGCAGATATTTAATAAAGAACTTACTGATTGTATTATCATATAATTCTTGCATTGTAAGAGATCTTAGAGATCATCCAAACCATTTTTTCCATTCCATAGATTAAGATTGAGAGATGCCAGGCAGTTAACTGACTTGCCCCAGGTCATGTTGTAAAGTTGAGAGTAGGCTTTTTGTCCATCTAGCTGATTTTATTAGGCTATCATTTATTTAGTTCTTCACATCAACTCTGCAGCTTACTTTTATTCTAAAATTTGACATTTGTTTCATAAAAATGATGTTAATAAATATTATTTCTTCCCATTACGTATCCATATATTCAACACTCTTGCCTACTTTGCAACAGTTCTTGAGCTCAGAGCTAGGAATACAAAGATGAACAAAACATAATCCACAGGGTACTTGTGTTACCTTTTCAGGAGGTAAAGAAAAGTAAATGCTCAAAAGTTGTTGGTTGAAATAAGAGAATGTGTGAACAAACAAATAGCACTGTGCTGAAAGAACTATGGGAAAGTTATGAAGACAGAATTCTTGTGTCTTCTAAGGACATACAATATATATACACCAAGTATTATACCATGTAAGACAATAATTAGAGCTCTCAAGCCCATATATAGTTGAATACTACATAGGGGCTTGCTGTGCTCTTTTCCTCCTTTGTGTACCTAACATACACTGTACATGCCTATTTGTGTGCTTATGGCACAAGCAGTCTGCAGAAGAGGCTTCTGTGGAGAAGCTGAAACTGAACTGAGATTGAAGATAAAGCAAAGGTATTTGTTTTACCTACCTACCTTCCTTCCTTTTTATTTTTTTCAAAGACATAGAAATTTATTTAGGAAAACAGAGGCACCTTCAAGGAAGAATGTGGGCTATCTTAAGAGTGAGAGAGAAGCTTTGGGGGTAAAGCAAGGAATATACATTCATGGGAGACTGTGGGCTATTTCCAGAGGGAGAAATAGCTGATATCTTTTTTTTTTTTTGGTATTCATTCAAAATATCTTTTCATTTGATCCATTTTATTTCATCTATTTATTTATTTTTGTGCAGGGGATTGAACCCAGCACGCTGTACTGTGTAGCTACAACCCCAGTCCTTTTTGTTTTTTATTTTGGAGATGCTAAGTTATTGAGTTAAGTTGTTCAGGCTGGCCTTGCACTTGCAAGCTTCCAAGTGTCTGGTAATACTGGCATGCACTACCATGCCTGATTGTTTGATAATTTTTAAAAGCTAGTGGATCCAGATGTACCTTTAAAAAATATTGTTCTAGTTTTATCATGAAATGATTGTTATTATTATTAATGCACCCTTAAAACATATAATATAGAAAATTAGATTGTTTCACAAATGCTTGAATTTTTGTACAAGAACTTAAAGGAAAACCCTATTTAAAAAAAGCAATTACAATCATTGCTAATGACGAGGAAAAACATTGTGTTAATATGTGTAAGCATTAGGAAGTAATTGTGTGTTTACAAGAGAGAGAGAGAGAACGAGAAGGAGTGGGGAGAGAGACAGAGGGGTTATGGGGAGACAGAAAGTGATAGAGCCCTTTGTTTACCAGAGAAAATATATAAATTATAAAGGCATTACCCCCAGTGACCCATCTCCTCTAACCACACCTTCCTGCTTATAGTTACACCCAGTTAATTCATATCAGTGGATTAATCCACTAGTTAATCATATTAATTAATTAATATGATTAGGTCACATCTCTCATCATCTAATCATTTCACTTCTGAACATTCTTGCATTGTCTTACACAGGAGCTTTTGGAGGGATACCTCATATCTAAATGGTAACATAGTCTTTACACATTTGTAATTTTTCTTCTGAGAGCCCAAGATCATTCTTAAATTATTATAGCAGAAATTTAGCTACTTACATAATTCCAGTCCAGGTCTGTTTTATAAAATATACTGCTATTGGATGTTTGTCCTAATGATATTGTGGCATTGTTTCATAGGTGGCACTGTTGTGGAAAAGCATTTCTGGTAACTTTTTTGACAGAATTCAAGAAGTGTTAAATTGAATTTTGAATCACAGTGGCTTGTGTTTCGAGAAAACCCTGGCAATTCTAATTTTTAGTTTCTCACCTCTTTGCATTCAGTAACAAGGATAACTAATCATTGCAGGGAACTGGACCTGTCTTTATTTTTTTACAGCTTTAAACTTTGTAAAGATTGCTTTATAAGACATGGATATATCACTTACCAGTACTGAGTTAGTGGCTAAATGATAGGGTAAGATTTAGAGACTTAGGTAGAACCATATGGAATTTGAGTCATGAATAAAATCAGTAGTTTTCCCCTTTGTTTTGTGTGTAGGAGGCGATCATGAAGCCCCTTGATCACAAGAATCTGGATCTAGATGTACCATATTTTGCAGATGTTGTAAGGTGGGTGTCACCATCTTGCTTTATAGAGATAGTAAGAAAGAAGAATTGATTTTAACATTTTATCTGATTTTTGTGTGATTTCTAAAGTTCTAGTTTAATGATATCTTTGAGCACTAGAATTTGTTTTCTGTGACTATTAGATATGAAATTTTGGTTATTTTTTGCGTTTTGAATTTCTTTCTTTTTCTTTTTTTTTTTTTCTCTACAGCACGACAGAAAATGTAGCTGTATATATCTGGGAAAACCTCCAGAAATTTCTTCCTGTGGGAGTTCTTTATAAAGTAAAAGTGCATGAAACTGACAATAATATTGTAGTCTATAAAGGAGAATAGTTCTTAGGGATTAACACTGTGGAAAGACTAATTTCCTTCCACATTTAAAAAAGATCTTTATCCTCTTGGAATATTAAGTAGTCACCACATAATTGTTGTACTACATTGTGTTCTGAAGTGCCTGATTTATTGAAATCATTATAAGACCTGTTGTGAATTTAAATCTATTTTAAAATAAAGCTTGTAATGTATCCTGAATATCATTTAGAGAGTCCTTTATCTATAGATTAAAAGTCACTTTATTTTCAGCAAAATGTTTTGGTGTGTTAATATTTGAAAGAAAAATCTATTTTTCTTGTATTCTCTTATCTCATTTTTAGAATTCATTTTTCTTAATATAAATGGTAGAAATGCTTATGCAATTTAAAGTAGATGAATTTTATAAAAAAATAATAAAATTAAGCACTGGGAGGCTGAGGCAGGAAGATTACAAGTTCAATGCTAGCCTAGGCAATTTAGTGATACTCTGTCTCAGAATAAAATAAAAAGGGTTGGGGATGTAGCTCAGTGGTAGAGCACATGTTTAGCATGCGCCAGGCCCTGGGTTCAATCCCCAGTGTAGCAAAAAAGAAATAAAAAAATAAAGAAATAAAAATTCAGATGACCTCAAAATCTGGAGACACTATATATAATTTGAACTCCCTTGGTTACTATTTTTTGGTATGCTAAAGGCACAAATTTATTCAGTGAAAGTTAGACACACAAATTATCTAAGATGGTACATTGCCAATGCATATACAAAGATGGATGGAAATGCTGCTTTCATGGACATTAGACATTGCAGCTTTACACGGGTATTGAACTATGAATTGCTAGTGAGGAACAACAATTGAACATACTATACAGTATAAGTATACTATTATATGTATTTGTCTAGAACACCAGACGTTATAGCCACCTGAATAATTTAAACTTGGAAGACTGCAGAATAATGATGTATTTTAAACCATGTTAACATAGCCAACATAAAAAGGATGTGGTACTCTGTGAAGTATTTCTTGTATGTAGTTTTTCCTGACTGATCCCATTTTATTCTGATCATTAAACTTACCTATATAAGTTGAAGTATATTCTTGGCATTATCTCTAGTGTCTTTTCCTCATGACTAAGTCCACAAGAATGTATTTGCTTGCTATGCACAAAGAGCTATTCTCTTGTGTTCATTTATATTCTAAACTTATTAAACAGAGGATTTTATATTTCTCTCCACATAGTATCTATTTTTTTTTTCTGGATTCTCAGAATGTTGCTGCCTGGAAGAAATAAAAAACTTATGCAGTGATCATGATTCTAGAAAATTTTGCAAAGGAAGACTTATTATGGAGAGGAAGTAACTATAGGAATTTTATTACAAATTTTCATAATCACTGCCCACTTAAATTTGAATGTGTTGTAGTTATCAAACTCAGTTTTTATCTATGTAGACTGTTTTGTAATGATTGAAAGGCAGTATAGCTACTATTTATGAAGTGACTTTATGTTTTAACTCTCACAAACACCATGTAAGGTAGTTACTATTCCCATTTTACAGATAAGAAAATTGAGAGGGTTTAAGCTACTTGCTTAAGATTACTCAGCAAATAAATTAAAAATTGAGATTTTTCTGACTTCAAAACATAGACTCAAAAAAGGACAATGTATTTATATTTCCAGATGTTTGAAAAGATGCCAAATTTTTCAAATCTGATATGTTAGAGAAATGTTTTTCTTGATAATAATGACACTCAAGGTGTTGGTTGCTCATGAGTTGCTTCAAGGGAAACATTTCTCCCCTACCTTCTCTCCTTAGGAAAAGAATTTTATTTGTTTATCTATCTAGTCATTCATCCATTCATCCACCAAATTCATGAGTGAATAGATGAGTAAATGGATGGGAGGACCAAAAACAGGTATAGGTGATTTTTTTTCTTCCTTTCAGAGACCATATCAAACTTACAATTATTACTTTTCATGTTTTTCCTCCCTTTTTATTGTAAATTCCTGGTGGGCAAAGTCCTTATTTTAAGCAAAGTGGCTAGTAAATAGTACTCATTTTTTGCTCATTGAATAAATGAATGGCATATTGGTAAAAATTGTTGAAATTTTATACTGACACATACAAATTGAGAACTTGGCACATATTTTTAGACTTGAATAACCTGAAAGTTTTGAGGCTCAATTATGGCCCTAGAGGTGTTAATATTTAGTTGACTGATGCTTATCTCTGGTGTTCAGTTTCTTTACCTGTAAAGTTAAGTCCTTGGATTAGGTACTTTCTGAATTATTTCTGCCTATTTTATACTTAAATGATTTTAAATACCAAATGAGTAAATATTATTATTATAGAAAAGGGAGAAGATCATTCCGGGGTAATGAGGTTTGGAAGCTTTGTAAAGGAGGTAAGTCCTTAATGGTACTGACAGTGATTGGGAAGGAGAGTGGCAGTCTGGAATTCAGGAGAAAAGAGAGACTACGAAACTCATTGGCTACGATACTGTCACTGCGCAAAACTTTGGGACTGAATGCCAAAGGGTAAAAGTTACTTGGCAAAGCTACTAGGGTGGGAATATACAGGCATATTGGTGATATAGTGAATAGGTTAATCTTAGTAGAATAATGGTGAAGTAGGTCAGTGTTGTGGGACATGAGCTTGGAAATATAGAATGGGACAGTCTGGACGTCCTTGAATGTCAATTTGATTTGTTTTTTAAGTAATAGGAAGCTGTTGAAATTTTGTTTTTTAAAGAAGATAACCAACTGGACAAAGGAAAGAAAGGAAATCAGGTGCAAAGCTACTACAGGAATCTATTCATGGAGTGATGGGTGCCTGGACCATGGTGGTGGCAGTAGAAATAAAGAGATGGGGGAAGGAGGATCAAGTTAACATTGTGCAGTGCCTAATGTGGCATCAGGCATGTTGCTGAGTACTTTTTATAGTACCTCATTTTATCCCCACAATCATCCTACTTGGTGAGGGTATTAGTTACCTATTGCTGAGTAACAAATTACCCAAAGCATAGCTTAAACATGATTTACAGCAGCATATATTTATTATCTCAGTTTCTGTGGGCCATGAGCCAGGGGTGGCTTAGTTGTGACCTTTGGTCCAAGGTCTCTGAAAAGGCTGCAGCCATCTCAAGGATCTACCTGGAAGAATCTTCCCAACTCACTCACATGGTTGTTGGCAAGATCCAGTTCCACATGGATGATTGGACTAAAGCTTAAGTTCCTGTTTCTTGCCATGTAGGTATTTTATAAAGCATCTCCTGCAAGACAGCTTGCTCCATCCAAGCGGGCAGATAAAGGGCAAGGGGAGTGCCTGCAAAACTGATGTCACAGTCGTTTATAGCCTAATCAGTTTTTCTATATTTTGCTTCTTAGAAGCAGGTCACTAGGTCTAGGTCACACTCTAGGGGAGGAGATTACATTTACATCGCTAGTGTGAAAAGTGTGATGGAGATAGCAGGAGACAGGCTAGGGAGGTAGACAGAAAGTGTGTATCATGCTGTTTTTGATGCCAGAGGAATAAAGCACAATTTCATTTTGCAGGAGTAAAATATCAGAGCAGCAGTGGTTGTTTATAGAGGGAATTGTGGGTTTTGTGGGTAGGGATATAAAACAATCTTGGAAGTACAACTCTTGAAAGTAAAACCAATTCTAAGGTGAAGTTAAGAAAAATATAGTCACTGAATCTCATGAGCATAATGACCAGAGCTCAGCTTTCATTGGTATTGCCTTAATTGATGTAACCACTGGTGGGTTATGAAAATGGCCAGAGTACTACAATCAGTTCAGTACGTGTAGTCACTGGTACACTAGACCTGTGATAAGTTATCCACTTGGCTTTGCAAATACCAAATTTTCAAATTCCTCCTGGACTTGAAATTATCCTAAAGATCAGAAACAGACTGTTCTCATTTTGCTTTTGTTATGTCTGAGATATTTCTAGCTTTCCTCACATACAGAAAAATCGTTGTTAGTTTCACACAATTTAACTTTACAGCAAGATTCTGCTGTAAGACACTTGGAAAATGTCCCAGATAAACTGGTAAGGTCTCTACAGTGCCTCAGAGAGAACTGTTATTGCTACAAAAGAAAGGTAGAGGCAAGTGGTTCTCCAAATGCAGAATTTTCACGATAGTAGTTCTGCTTTCCATTGGTTCATCAGTTGGTTTGTTTCCTTCAAAATAGCCACAGACTCACTCTCACCTGTGCTTAACAGCCGTTGAGACAGAAGAATTAATGATTTTTTTTTTTTTTTTTACCTCTAACATCTAATCTATCAGAAAGCTCTGCTGGTTCTACCTCCTAAACGTTTCATGTTGATTGTCTTCATTTCTGATGCTATCACCCTAGTCTAAGCTGCCTTTGGCCTGGAGTTCTGACATGGTCTTTTAACTTGTCTTCTACTTGTACTTTTGTTCTCTTCCACACTCCTATGGGTCTTTCTGAAAGAGCAATTGAGATCTCCTCAGGCCCCATATAATCTCCTGAAAGCTCCCTCTTGATTTTAGAATACAATCCAAGCACCTCACACTAGTTTACCAAGCACTGTGTGACCTAGCCACTGCCTACTTGCAGCCTCAAGCCATTCACTGTTTTGTTCACATTGGCCTTCCAAGTATGAGGGCATATCAATTTCATTCCTTCCTGGAGACCTTTGCATTGGCTGCCCTTTTGCCTGGAAACCTATCCTCCSTCACCTCCCTACCCTCTTCATTCCCCTGTGGAAAACTTAAGCATTCTTCAGACTTCAGTTTAATGTCACTTAAAAAAAAACCCAACTTTTATTTATTTCTTATTATGTGGTGCTGAGGTTTGAACTCAGTGCCTCACATGTAGTAGGCAAGCACTCTACCACTGAGTTACAACTCCAGCCCTACCTTCACCTTCTTGAAGACACCTTCCTTGATCACCCTGAATAGGTAGAAACCCTCTGTTATTTGCTGATATACTTTGCACTCACCTTTCTGTCAGTTAACATTTTTTCTATATTGGTTTCTTTTGTTTTATTTATTTATATACTAGTTTAGTATCCATCCCAACCATGAAGATATCAATGTCATGAGAACCAAAGCCATGCCTGTATAGTTCACTTTTGTTTTCCCAGGACCCAGCTTAGTGCCTCCTACAGTGCAGGTGCTGAATATAATCATCCCTCCTATCCATGGGAAATTGGTTCTAGGACCACCCACAGATACCAAAAACATGGATGCTCAAGTCCCTTGTATAAAATGATAATATTAGCATATAACCTACGCATATCCTC